TTCTGGAAGTCCCCTTGTATGTTCCCATTCTGGAGGTCTGGGGGTCAAGACTTGAACAGATGACTTTGGTGGCAGGAGATGGGGACAAACGGCCCATTCCACGTGGGCTGGCTCCAGAAGTGGGGCGGAATCCCAAGGGTATCCTGGTGGGAACCACCTGCTGCTCACTCCTGTTAAGGCTGCCATGACCTTGACAGTCCAGCCCGGTCAGGTGCTGTCTGGCAGTTTTCTCCACCATGGTTACTGTGTCTCTCCTTGTTATCCGAGCATCTTACAGACGGCTCTCTAGCTAACTCTGCTTATCAGCCCTCACCTCTTAGGGCCGTGGTCACCATTCCTCCTGCAAGGTCTGTGCTCCACTGTCAGCAGCAGAACAAGGGCTGTGGGAAGTCACTCCTGGGCATCTCGCCTCTGTCTGGAGGTAGGAGGACAATGGTAAGGGGGGCCATAAGTCGGGTGCACAGAGCAGAGCTAGCTTGCGGCCAAGGACAGGAGGGTGCTTCTGAGAAAACGGTGCCCAACTGTGCTGGGGAAACAGCCCTGAGCCCCCAGAACTGGCTCCAAAGCTTCTCTAAACAACTAATCTTATTTCTAACTTAAAATATATATAATTTTTGTTTGAAAGGCAGAGTTACAGAGAAATCAGAGACACAGAGAGAGGTTTTCCATCTGCTGGTTCATCCCCCAAATGGCCGCAATGGCCAGCGCTGAGTTGATTCAAGCCTGGGAGTCAGGAGCTTCTTCCTTATCTCCCACGTTGGTGCAGGGTCCCAAGGACTTGAGCCATCTTCTGCTGCTTTCCCAAGCCACGAACAAGGAGCTGGATTGGAAGTGGAGCAGCTGGGGCTTGAACCAGCACTCCTGCGAGACCCACAGAGCCACAGGGCTGGCCTCAATTCCATATTCTTACATACTCATGATGTCCAAGCTCATCGGTCTGGGAGGGATCCCAGTCCCTCTGCTATCTGGCTATGAGGCTCATTGTCCTTATCTGTGAAATGGGGTTTGACAGCACCTCTCAGGAGGGACTGAGACAATGACTTGAAGCTCCTGGAGCAGGGGCTGCACATGGGAACCATTGGATATGAAAGCTATTAAACCCGAGAGAGTTGGACTGAGGGGATGGTGACAGGTACTGACGAATGAATCAACACGACAAGGCAGCAGCAGAAATGAAGATGGGCGCATAGGGACTCCAGGTCCCGCGGGGGCTGATTGGCCTGTGAGGAGTCAGGGCCCCCCAGGGATGGCAGCACCAGGGACCTCTACCTGGGCCACTGCAAGACGCTGGGTAGGATCCTTCGGGCAGCTGCAGGGCCTCTCCCTGTGAGGAGCTGGGGGATTCCAAGGTAGCCCTCATCACTTCCTGCTGTGGGTCCCACTTCCTCTTTGGCTGACTGCTTTAACATGGCCAGAAAAGGAGCACACACACAACCCGCCTCCCAAGATTTGTCCAGGGCGAGAATGCCCTTCTGGCTGGCCCATACTTACAAGATCTCTTGGTATCTTCTCCTGACTCCAGAGCCAGAGACACTGATGGTCTTGGAAAGGGGCCCTGCAGAGGTGCAGGGGGAAAGGCCTCCCAGGGAGTGATGCCAGCAGGTGCAGGCAAGGAGGTGGGGACAGAGGGATAGGGTAGCTGTGGACACAAGGATTAGGTCACCAGGGCTGGGAGAGCTGGACTGGGAAGGCCTGGAATGCCCTGGTCAGGAAACTGTCGGCTCCTGCAAGCAGCAATGATGCAGCCCAGGTTGTTGTGCCAGACGTTGATGGGCGCAGGCTTGGCTGCCCTGCAGCTGGCCTAGGCGGTGCTGCTGGGAGAAGGACCCGACCTGCGCCCTTGCATTCTGAGAATGCTGAGCTACAGGGGTAGGGGCCTGCAACCCAGGGCTGGCTGCCTTCTTCTCCAAGCCCAGAGGGACAGACAACAGGCAGGCCACAGCAGGGCAGGACTGGGAGTTTTTAACCCTCGTGGTGGAGGTAAGGAGACAGGCTCAGAGCAGGGAGGCTCTCCAGCAGCCCTCATTATGACTGCCCCAGGCCTAGGGATCCCAGAGTCCTCCCTCCTGGGGCTCCAGTTTCAGTGTAGTCTGGGAACCAACCAATGTGGGCCTCCCTAGGGCTCTGGATAGGAATGCAAATTCCCAGGCCACCTGGATCACTCCAGGGGTGGGACCAGCAATGTGCTTGCTTTATTTTAGGGGTCTGTGTGTCCACATGTTGTTTATTTTCTTTTTTTTAAAAAAAAGATTATTTATTTAAAAGGCAGAGTTACAGGGAAACTCTGTGTGTGTGTGTGACAAAGACCGCTGTCTGCTGGGTCATTCCTCAAATGCCTGCTGTGCAGATCTCTCATGTGGGTAGCAGGAATCCAGGGACTTGGACCAACCTCTGCTTTCTGCCAGAAATGCATTAGCAGGAAGCTGGATCAGAAACAGAGGTGGGAGACTCCATCCTGACATTCCAACATCCTGCATTCCCAGGGATGCTGGGATGCAGGTGCCCCAAGCCGTGACCTGATCTGCCACACCCCAGCATCCATTCCAAGCAGCCAGGGTTTCCGAGCCCTCTGAATGATTCAGATTGACATTCAAGGTCAAGATTGCTGCCTGACATTCCTGCCTGATACCCCTTTAGGCCCCTGCCCTTCCCTGGACTCTGAGCTCTGGGAAGGTGTACCCCTGCCTCCTCCCTCTCCCCATGCCCCACCCCAGTCTGACTCCACATAGGAGGCTGCTGTCTGATACTCCCAGCCAGGGAGTGCCCACCCAGGCCAGTGCATGAAGCTCTTCCTCTGGAACTGGCGGGCATTGGCCTTGGTTCCTGGTACCCCTAGGCACAGCAGCCTCTCTCCACAGTCCTGCCCAGCTCGGCAGCCTGTGCCATGAGGTTCCCCAAATATGTGCAGGGGGACCTGTTCCCACCATGGGGTCCCTGGGGACACGGGACGGCAGACACGGGTCCTTCTTGAGAAAATGCCTCAGGGAGCCGCTGATGTGGAATGTTCTCTGGCTTGTTTTAGTTACTGTGGTAAAGTCACATTCCTTCTGTGACTGCTCCGTTTAGTAATATCCTTGGGGAGGGCTGGGACGTGAGCTATGATTCAGGGACTGAAAGCAAAGACTGAGAAGGGCCAGAGCGGTGAGAGCTTGCACTGGGAAAGCAGTACCTCAGCAGGGCTGCGGGGGCGCCGTCGGGCAGGCTGCCGACTGCACAAGTGCCCAGAGCAGAGGCCAGTCGAAGGCCTTGGTGGGGGAGGGGTGTGTTCATGGTGTGGAGGAGGATGGTTCTTCCTCCATTCTGCTCATTAACCTTGTTCCGGGTGGTACAGCACTTAAAGTACATTTTGGCTCCACCATTGTGCACAGTGAAAAAAAAAAAAAAAGATCCCCAAAATACAAACAAAAAAGCTTCAACGTGAGCTGAATTGCCTAGGGGAGAGAGCTGGATGGAGTTTTAGGTAGCTGGCTTTGGCCTGGCCCAGCCCTCTGGCCACTGTGGCCAAATTTTGGGGGAGTGAATAAGGAGACAAAAGAGGCTCTCTCTCCCCTTCCCTCTATCACTCTGCTTTTCTAAGAAACAATAAATCCCTTTAAAAATGTTGGAATCTCAAAAAAAAAAAAAAAGTCACATTTTACTACTGGGAAGATACCTTGTCCAAGGTCACGTCCCCAGGAGGAGGCAGGGCTGGTGTTGACCACTGCACTACACTACCACACTGCTACAAAGACCTTGGCACTGGCTCAGCCGCCTGGTCGGGGCTGTGGGTCCTTTCTCCCCCTTTTCCTTGTCTTTGGAAGAACAAGCCCAGAGGTAATTTCCTGCTGTTAAGGGCCTGCGTGCTTCTGGTGGGTTTATCCAGCCAGGTCATACATTTTATTTATTCACAACAGCCCCCCCCCAGCAAGAGCTGATTCAGTGCTGCACTCTGCATTCAGCCTTTGAATAAAGGACTTCTATAATGAATCTCGAAGGATGCCGATGCCGGGCTGTAGGGGTGGCCCCCTGGTGCCACCATGCTTGACAGCTTGGTCAGCAATGGGCAGGAAAGAATCAGAGGACAGTGGAATGTCAACTCACATGATTCAGTTTCCCCCCACCTCTTAGGAAATTTTTTTAAAGTGTTCACCTTTTTGAAAGGTAGAGATCTGAGGCGGAGATAGGTCAGCAGAGACTTGCTCCATCTGCTGATTCATTCCTTGAATGGTTAACAGCCCGGTCTGAGCCAGGAGCCTGGAACTCCATCTGGGTCTCCCATGTGGCTCCAAGGGTCCAAGCACTCGAGCCATCTTCCACTGCTTTTCTAGGTGCAGTAGCAGGGAGCTAGATGGAAAGTAAGGCAACCAGGACTGAAACAAATGCTCTGATGTGGGATCTGACACAGCAGCAGGAGGCTTAAGCTACAAGACCACAATGCCAGCCCCTCTCCTAGGGTTTTGAGCCCATTCTAAAAGCAGTGCAGCCCTTGCCTGCAGCCTGCACCCAATTCTTCCCACAGGGAGGGAGAGAAGTGCCAGGCATCCCTTGCCTTCACCTGAGAGATGGGCATTGTAGCTGGAGTTCACCTTTGGTGCCCAAGGCAGCACAGAGAAGGGGTGAGGGAGGGAGGGGCGGGAAGCATGGGCAGCTTGGGGCCGTGGAGAAGCTGGATGGACTTCCTCCCTTGAGGATTACAGTGTTGGGGAGAGTATCCCAGGGACCGAGAGTGGCTAGGCACACATCTTCTTGTTCACACACTTGTGTTACAGCCACTGTCCACAGCACACAGAGGCTCACCCTGGCGTGCACACAGCCACGACCCCTGTCGTGCAGTGCCCTACAGTCTCCTCCATGGAAGGGATGGGGAAGCAGGGTCCACCAGCGTGGATGGAGAGGAATGAGATTTGAGCACCAGTGTGACACGTGCCAGCTGTCCCCGCCCTCACCACCCCACCCCACCCCTGACACGCAAGCATAGCCACAATCTGGGGTTGAAAACAATTTCCTCCCTCAACCTCACTCCCTGCCTCTGCTTGGCTGCCGCTGCTCTCTCTTCCACCTGCTACCAGGAGCTCACTGCTCGGGGATCCGGCATCCTGCACCCGCTCTGTGCTCAGGTAAGGAGATGGGGGCCCAAAGGGAAGGGCTGCCCAGTACTCCCCTCTCTCCTCTTCAGGCCCAGCCTGGAAAGCACAGTTTTACCAGCAGAGAGGGTTCTTCACAGTGACAATGGCAGAGGCCAGAGGACACTGGATGCTCAGAAGAGGGGACTCCATTTTCCCAGGCACAACGGTGAACCATTGTCTTTTTTCAATATGCACAAGTTGTGGGAGTGGCAAGGTTTCTTTCACCAGCTGGCTTAAGGCAACTGACCCAAGTTCATCCCACCAGGAAGTGAGGAGCTGGGTTCAAGCCCAGGTCCTGGACTGCTGAAGTTTGTATTCTCTTCTCCCAGCCACTGCTCTCCTGGGGGTCACGGGACTGCCTCCTCGTAGCCCAAGGGCCAGGTCTGGATGGCTCGCGGAGTGCTGCAGGATGGTACTGTCTGGGCAGTCCTGGAGGGGTCGGTAGGGAGCAGCTGGACAGAAGGGACTGCTTCTGGGCACAGGGGCAGCAGTCCCAGCCCCATGGCTGCAGCGGAGAAACTCTGGGCATGTTGTTGTGCTTCTCAGAACCTCAGTTTTCCCTTCTGAAACATGGTGTCTCATGAGAATTAATCAGGGGGGTATTTGCTCTGCAAACCCTAAAACTTGGAAGTTCTAGCCTAACCATTCCCCTCCTGCCCTGCCTACAGGTCCTTGGGTCCAGGGACTTGTCTGCCAGGGTGATGCCAGCTTGGTATCAGTTGACTACCCCAAAAGGACAGTGGTTGCTGGAAGGGAATGCACTTTCTCACCCTGATTGAGATTTTTTTTTTCTTCTCTTCCTCCTCCTCTTCCTCCCCATTATCTCTGAGCAAGGACAGAGCCCCAGCAGAATGTTTCCTTTACATGGTTCGGTTGTTTGGGGGACTCTGGGCCAGTTACGCACACATCCGAGGCTCAGTCTGCACCTCTGTAAAATGTGTTGGAGGAGTGAGTGGTAGCACCTCTCTTTCAGACCCATGAACATGAGTGTGCCTATTGGGAGGAGCTGCTGCGATGTGGGGGTGTACCACCTAAGGGAGCCCTGATTCCCGTAGCCCTCACTGACCCTGGGGTGCTTGAGAAGGCTGTGAGCACACACATCTGGGGTTGCACATACCTGCAGTTGCTGGACATCCCCTGGGGAGCGAGCGTGGGGCCGAGGGCGTCGATGAAAGAGCAGGCAGGAGAGACAGTTCTCGGCCCAGGGACTCCCAGAGCCCTCCCAGCTCCTTCTTCCTGCCCTGTTAGTGCCTTCTCCTTATCTCAGTTCCTCTCCTTGCCAGCAGAGGAGGGGCTGGTTTCACTCTCAGCAGTCAACACACCCAACTAGCCATCACCATGGATGCGCCACAGGGCCTGGAAGGGTCTGCAGAGAGGCAGGGTCTAGGGGTGCTGTGAGAAGGGGGTGTCCAGGCCAGCTGGACACTACTCCCCCACTGGGGGTGGGGCCAGGGGAAAGGAGGTCTCCCTGGCCAACCTCAGCATCTCAGGTCACTGAATGAAGCCAGACTAACACAGGCTTGCTCCCCACCTTCTGAACGCTTAATGTATTAACTCATTTAACTCTCCCCAAAAGCTGCCCTAGGTACCATGACAACTGACACCCAGGTCACCGGATAGGAAACGTGTCATGGAATGGGGCGAAGGGTGATGGTTTAGTGCCCCCACCCTCAGTGCTCCCCAGCCGCTGCCTTCCTCTCCCCAACAGGCCCCTTTGCGCCATGTTGCCCAACGCCACGCTGAGTCCGCTCTGCCCCATCCTGGAGCAGATGACCCACCTGAAGAGCCACAGCAACTCCAGCATGCGCTACATAGACCACGTGTCCGTGCTGCTGCACGGGCTGGCGGGGGTGCTGGGCCTGGTGGAGAACAGCCTCATCCTCTTCCTGGTGGGCTTCCGCATGCGCCAGACCGTGGTCACCACCTGGGTGCTACATCTGGCGCTGTCCGATCTGTTGGCCTCCGCCTCCCTGCCCTTCTTCACTTACTTCCTGGCCGTGGGCCACTCGTGGGAGTTGGGCACCACCTTCTGCAAGCTGCACTCCTCCGTCTTCTTCCTCAACATGTTCGCCAGCGGCTTCCTGCTCAGCGCCATCAGCCTGGACCGCTGTCTGCAGGTGGTGCGGCCAGTGTGGGCGCAGAACCACCGCACGGTGGCCGGGGCACACCGACTCTGCCTGGTGCTGTGGGCCCTGGCAGTGCTCAACACTGTGCCCTATTTTGTTTTTCGCGACACCATCCCGAGGCGTGACGGGCGCATCATGTGCTACTACAATGTACTGCTCCTGAGCCCTGGGACGGATCGCGATGCTACATGCAACAGGCGTCAGACGGCCCTGGCAGTCAGCAAGTTCCTGCTGGCCTTTCTGGTGCCGCTGGTCATCATCGCCTCCAGCCACGTGGCCGTGAGTATGCAACTGCGCCACCGTGGCCGCCGGCGGCCTGGCCGCTTCGTGCGCCTGGTGGCGGCCGTCGTGGTGGCCTTTGCGCTCTGCTGGGGGCCCTACCACGTCTTCAGCCTGTTGGAGGCGCGGGCGCATACGGTGCCAGCGCTGCGGCCGCTCGCCTGGCGCGGGCTGCCCTTCGTCACCAGCCTGGCCTTTTTCAACAGCGTGGTCAATCCGTTGCTGTACGTGCTCACCTGCCCCGACGTGCTGCGCAAGCTGCGGCAGTCGCTGCGCACCGTGCTAGAGAGCGTATTGCAGGACGACACCGACCTGGACTCGGACTCCCGCCGCCGCCGTCGCCGCGCCTCCTCCACAGCCATCTCGGCTTACTCCTCTTCCTCCTCTTCGCTGCGCAGCCGCCTACCGTCCCCACTCTGCCCCACCTGCTCCTCTGGCTTGTGGAGGGGCGGCTGCGCAGCGACCTCGGAAAAGGACCAGGAACACTTCAGCAACTAGACGGGCCCTCTGAACTTGGCGCTGAACACCTCTGCTTAGAACCCCTGGGGCATCGTCTTTGAAATGTATGACCTCCATCCAGCAGCCTGGAATCTGCATTTTGATGTCACTCAGCTGGTTGGAGACAACCTTAAAGCAGCTGTTCCTCCAACTATGCCAGGGAGCCTTAGATTTTGTTAGGCTTGGCAGAGCAGGCTGCAGGCCTGAGGCCAAGTGAGTCCTCCTCTGCCCAGGAATGTTTGGGGTGCCCTGCAGGAACCATGGGGCCTGGCCCCAGCTCACTTGCTACACACCAACAGTGGTGGACAAAGGGCTGCTGCCTCCTCCCCCCTTGTGCCTCGGATGTGGAAAGGCCTAGTGCTATAAATACCTTGGGCAACCATTTCCCTCGTGTGGTCACTCCACCGTGTGTGTCTCCCACCAGGGAGCAGTCTGTCAGACTCTCTCCCCAGATTAATAACCTAGGATTCACCTGTGTTAAGGTGCAGTGTGGCTCAGCACGTATTGGAGAGATGGGGTTGGTTCCCCCTGTGTGTTGCTGGTCTGTGACTGCACTTATGAGCAACAAGTTGCAATCATGAGCTCCTCAGACTGGGGCAGCAGAGTACCCAGGGCCTTATCTCCCTGGAGTTCAATGTTACCAGATGATGGGGGCTGCAGTTACATGCAACCAGGGGTGCGAACTGAGTTTTCGACTGCACTGTTCATACAGCTTCCCGACTTTAGCCAACATTTTTACAGACCTTTGGATGTTTTATTCCGGCTAGGGGGCTGCTCCACGCACCAGCGTTCACGAGTGAGCCAGCGCAGGTGGAGTACGGTTAGGTGATTTGCCCAATTTGGGCATGAATGAGGACAGGGTCTGCCCGCTAACCTGAAGGGGGTCAATCTACACAGCCACATGGCAGCTCACCCGACTGTGGCACCTGAACCCCGGGCAGGCTTGGTATTCTGCAGGATGCCTCCTGGGCACTGGCAGTCCCAGGCCCTTTGTAGCACAGGCTGGGTGGCTCTCCTTCCAATGAGGAAATGGAGAAGCAACCTGTGTCCCTGTCATGCATGGCACTGTGCTTACTTCCTCTCCTGCCCGGGTAGGCATGAGTTACTCAGATTTCTCTGGTACCGCAGGCATCCTGGCTCTCTTCCCTGTGTGGTCTCGGTGGTGAGCCGTGGAGGGCAGAGGCCGCCATGGCCTAAGCTCTCCTGTCCAGGGACCAAGCTCGGGGGTGGAAGGACTGAGATGACACACTCGTGAGGACCTCAGTCCGGTACTCCTTCAGGGACTGTCTGCAGGGCACGGCAGGGGCAGGCCCACAGCAGCTTCCCTGCGGCTTTCCACAGAGCACGTTCCCACCCAACACCTCACGTGGTTCACGCTCTTCCCGTTTCCTCCACCAGAATCAACGCTCTGGCTGCACTGTGCTGGTTTATTATAGTCTCCATCAGAATGAGGGCGGGCACTTTGCTGTCTGCACTACCGGTGCCTGGAATCAGGCCTGGGCACAGCAGCCTGGTCACAGACTGGACCAGAGCTTAGATTTCCGGTGGCGGGGGGGCAGGACGTGCTGGCTGGCATGGGAAATCTGGCTTTTTGCAACCTCCCCTTTTTAATCTTTCAGGGTTGAAAAGTGGGGAGGAGCTGGGTCATTCTGACAGATCCGGGGTCAGCGGGGTGTGGAGGTGGTCACAGCAACTTTGGGAAAGCAGGAAAATGGGGGCTGGGAGTCCTGACTGCTGGCCTCCACTCCTGGACCTGGGACATCGGGGCAGTGCAGACACGGTATACCGAGGAACCAGGACAGCTTCCTGCTCTTGAGCTGAAGTCACTTGCAAAAAGAGAGAAGGGAGCGGGGAGCCAACGCTCTCCCTCCCACCACTGGCCAGGGCCAGGTCTCCCCGGGTGGAGCCTCAGAGGCCCAGGAGCCCTGTCTGGGTGGTCCCTGGTTTGGGGCCCCAGAGCTGAACTGCCGGCTCCTGCAGTCTGTCACAGTGGCTTGGCTGGCTTGCTCGTTGGCTGTGCTGAGCTCAGACCTGGGCTGCTGGCCGCTGCGGCGGCTGCTTCTGCAGCAGGGCCAGGGTATCCCGCTTCTCAATGGAGCGCAGCTGCTTCTTCTTCGCCCGCTTGATCTTAGCGGGGTTCCGGATCTGGAATGGTGGGAGGGGAGGGTGTTAATGTGGTGGAATCTGGCTTGTTCCCCAGAAGGCAGGCTGTGGGGTCAGAGAGCGGGACGTGGAGCAGGGCGAGGCACTCGGAGGCTGCATGTGCCCGCATGCCCGCGGAGGCCAGGGCAGGTGGGACACTCACCACTTGGACGACCTCCGCCTTGCGCTCGTTCTCCAGGCGCCGCTTCAGGTTCTCAGCCCGGCGCCGTTTCTTCTCCTGTAACAGCGGGGGGAGGAGACTTGAATCTGGGGGCCAAGGAGGCCCTGGCCCTCAGTGGAGAGAGCTGCAGGTTTCCTGGCATGGATGGGAATGGCTCTTGTGTCTGGGCTCCAGGGAGTTCCTGTGGGGAGCCATCCTGTACATGGGTTCTGTGGTGGCATGGTAGGGAGTCACTGACCTGGTGTAAGATGCTGGGACCTATAAAGGCCATGGAAGACAGGGCCTTCCCCTAGAGGGCTGGTGCTCTCCACCTGGAAACCTCCCGTAGGCAGACAGTGCCATCTAGCCCAGCTGACAAAGGAGAACGGGGGGCCCTCGGGGCCCTCCCTGTCTCCTGTGAAGGCCCACGCACACCAGGGGAAGGTAAGTGTTCCCGAGTGCCCCTAGAAGGGGCAGAGCGGCTGAGCTGCATGGAGGGAGGCACCCTGGAGCCATCTGGCCTGGGTTCTGGTCCTGCCTTGGCTATCTCCTACACAGGAGAATGGCTAAGTCCTTATGCATCACTTTCCCTTTCAAGTGCAAGGGAGCTATTCCTGCCCCTGGGAGCCCAGGTCATTTCTCACTTTTCTCCCTGGGCCTTTGCCACTCTGGATCACCAAAGCTAAGAGAGGCCCCTGACTGTACAGAGGCCTTGGAAACAACACCCTAGTAGACCCTGCCAGGATATGGAGTGAGCACGGTCAGAAACCCTGGGCCTCCAGTCCACAAGACAGTCCATCGGGGTTCCGAGTGTTGCCGGTGACCTGGGGGCTGTTCCGAGTCCTGCACGTGCATTCCCTCACATGGCTCTCGGGTCATCTTACAGAGCAGCTACCGGGTTGTTCTCACCTCCCTGAATGCTCCCACAGGTCTTCAGGCTATCTTGATCTTGTAGAAGCCCAGGCTATGGGGTCAGGATGCACTTGGGTCCTAGCCAGCTCCCTTCACCCTGGGGCCCTCAGGCTGCAGAAGGCCTCCACCCGAGGTCACCTCCTCCAGGCCCTGGTTACACAGACACCACGCCGGCCCAGGGTTTCAGTCTCCAGCCGTCCAACTCCTCACCTGCCGGCGCCTCTCCTTCTCCTCCTCCAAGTGTCGGGCGAAGTCCTTGGTCAGCTTCCTCTCCTGTCGCTCCTTCATCTTGCGCTGCCAGGAAGTGCGCAAGGGCTTGTCCTGGACCATCTGGGAGAACCTGGGTGGAGACAGCAGACATTTGTGGGGTCTATGGGGCACCCACCATGTACTCAGCCTCCGGGGGTGCCCACACCCAGGCCAGGCCAGGCCCTGGTCACGTGATTCCTCTCTGCCTTTGTGGAGGGCTCGGGACTTGAAGTCCGCTGTGCTGCTGTCTTGGGTGTCAATGTCTCTGTGGACGAGGCACTCACCCCTGTAGAAGTGGCCTGCTCCATTACTGCACATACAGCCCCCTGTAAGGGCCCCTATGCTCGCACCCGTCAGTGACAGGCTGTCAAGGCTGTCTGGATTTTCCTGAGGGAGAGGACTTCTGAGTCACAGTGTCTGAGTGCTCTCCCGTGCCAGCTCAAGCTTGCTTAGTCAGCGCCTACTCCTGTCCATGGGGAAGGGCCAGCTTGCCCCTTCCTGCTGCAGGTCTGGCACACAGGGCAGCACCTGATCCCAGGTAGGTCCCGTGTCAGCTTGGCTCCGTGTCCTACATCTCTGCTCCGACAATCCACTCCTGGCAGGCACCTGTCCCTTCAAGGGCCAAGGGTGGGGCTACACATGGCCTTGCCTGCACGGGTGCAACAGCCCTGCAGACAGCAGCACTGTGGGTGGTGTTGACAGAAACTGAGTCTTAATTTTATATGAGCAATTAAGTTTAATCAGTCACAGGTGGCAGTGGCTGAGGTAGCAGGCAGTAAAGTTCCAAACTGTGGGCTCTGAGGACTGACGGGAGGTGGCCTGGCCTCTGGTCCCCGGCCCACCATCTGCTAGCCATGTCTGTGCGCTCTTGTTTCACAGGGCGGTGGGAGGTCTAGTCAACAGACACACACAGGTAACAGGTGCTCCAAAGGCACTGGCATGGGCCAGCAGGCGGGGCTGCAGCGGGTCCTCCTCCGCAGGTGCAGGCACCAGGAGACGCCAGACCTCAGCTCAGCCCTGCTGCACCCTTCTCCAACACCTGTGGCAGCTGCTGGGGCTGTCGGAACCCTCACAGCTGCTTCACTGCTCTCCCCGCTTTCCCCCTGCCCCGCTGAAGCCAGCACAGGGCAGCCCGTGGATCAGCACTCCTGTCCACCATCCCCACGGCTCCCAGAGGAAAGCCAGATGGCCCGCTGCCCTGCCCTCACTGTCCCTGCCTGGGAATGGAGCCCTGGGGCTGCTGCGCTGTCCAGCATGTCTGGCCACCGCTTCCCCAGCTCTCGGCTTGGTTCCCTCTCTTCACCGGGCCTCCGCTCCACGTCCTTCATCCGCGAGGCCACCTCAGCTCACTGTGGCTCTGCACCACCCTTCCCCCCGTACTCTGTTCCCTGTCTTGGTTTACATCCCTGTAAAACCCTTAATACTACTGACATGTTCTACGTGCACAAATGCATTTCAAAATCCTTTTGCACCAAAATAAGCTTACCTTTTAATTTGATTTTCCATAAACTTTAAAAAAAATTAAATTTTTATTTGAAAGGCAGATTTTAGAAAGACAAGGAGAGACAGAAAGAGAGATCTTTCAACACTGGTTCACTCCCCAAATCGCTGCAATAGCCAGGGCTGAGCTGCTCCAAAGCCAAGAAGCCAGCAGTCAGGAGCTTCCTCCAGGTCTCCATTGTGGGTGCAGGGCCCCAGGCCTTGGGCCAACCTATGCTGCTTCTCAGGCCACAAGCAGGGAGCTGGATGGGAAGTGGAGCAGCCAGGACTCATATGGGATGCCAGCACAGTGGGTATCGCTCTGGTGTACTATGCCACTGTGCCAACCCCTCCAAGAACTTCTGAAAGCCTCTTGTAAATGTTCTCCACAGCCAGTATGCTGGCTCTAGGAAAGCAGGGAGTCTGCTTTGCAGCCATGGTTACCCCAAGATGATACTAATTGGGTGAATGAAAGAACTAACTCTGGCTCCTCACTCTTTTAACTGGAGCTGTGCTCCAGGGGATGGAGGCATGGCCCAGGAGTGACCACTCTATGGAGCCTCGCTATAGACTGAAAGATGGGCAGCTAGCCACAAGAATCCCACAAGCAGATGGGCATTGGTACAAGCGGGCTGCCACAGTGGAAAAGCACAGGCCCAGTGACAACACACACACAGCAGTGAAGCCCCCTGGGGAGACAGGACAGCGGACCTCTCCCAAGGGGTGGCACTAAACTGTGGCACAGCCTTGCCAGGGGAAGAGCCTTTCCAACAGGCTGCGTCTGTGTAGGAAGCACCGCAGGTTGGAGCAACAAGGATGCAGGCTGGGGAGTGAGGAAGCCTCTGGCGAGTGAGAGATGCTGCTGCAGGTCCCCTGAGCCTGGGGTGCCCGTTCTGAGCAAGGAAGCCAGGAAGGGTCTGAAGTGGAGACAGGTTCAAGGCTGAGGCCTCCCACCTTGCTCCAGCAGCTGCCTGCTTGCTTCCCCCCACCTGGGCAAGGGCCCTACTCCTCTTTGCTCAGCACTGCCCTCCCCTATAGCCCAAGTACCAGCACCCCAGGCTCTATGCACTCAACCCCTTATCACCCTCTTCCCTCTAAAACCAATCTCCTCCTCTGCCATCCTCCTCCATGGTCATCATCCTCCCTGCTGGGACCGAGAGGGGAGCAATGTCACCCTCCACTTCTCCACGTCACCGCTGCTCCTGTCCGGCTGGTGAACTGCAGCAAACAGCTAAGTCTCCGAGGCCAGCACTGGGGTGCGGAGAGCCGAGCTGCCGTCTGCAACACTCACACTGTGAATCAGAGAGCATCTTTGAGTCCCGGCTGCTCCACTTCTGAGCTCCCTGCTAACACGCCTGGGCCAGCCTGGCCACTGCAGCTATTTGGAGAGTGAACCAGCAGATGAAAGATCTCTCGCTCTCTCTGCCTTGGAATCAAGAAATCTTAAGAAAAAAAAAAATCGCTAAATGTCGGTTTGCCCTCTGTTTAATGGTAACAGTCAAGGCAGGGAAACCACACTGTTTAGTTTTAAGGGTCCAACTAAATGTAAAGGGCCCAGCAGAAAGCAGGGCACACAGTCCACCCTCAGTCAAGGTCAGCTTCTTCCTTAAGGCACGCTCCTTCCTCCATGCCTACCTCTCTGCCCGCTGCTCCCGGCTCCTCCCTGGCACCCGACACTTCCTTCTTCAGGGGAGTCCCTTCATTCCATCATCCCAGCAAACATTCATCCAGTACTGATCACACGGATCCCATGGCTGCCTAGGAAACTCACGGAGCCACTTCAGAGCAGCCAGAGGGCAGTTAAAGGTGTGCTGGCACCTGGGCTTTGGTGGGAGATGGGCGCTTTGTCAGGGCCTAGGCCCACGCCCACTTAGCTTTCCCTGCACCTGCCTCACAGGCTGCTGGGCAGATTCAAAGCAGGTGTGTGGATGGCCCTTCTGCGAGCAGTCATCATCAGAGGGCGTAGCCCTGAACCCTACCATCACTGCTCCACCCTGCCGTGTGGTCCTTAACCACAAATCAGTCATCTACAACAGCAAGCCAAGATCTCACTGAGCTTGAGGAACATCGCTGCTTTACCTGCTTCTGAATGAACACAGGACCGAGGAGCAGTGAGGTTCCAGGGTTCCTGGGGAAATGAGCGCGAGGGCCTGGGCTCAGTAGCCCTGCCGTCCCGGGCACACACCGCCACATTCTGGCTATTGGCTGACATCTCTCCCTGACCTGTCCACCTTCTTCAAGTCATTCCAGGGTTGAGAAAACAGAACCCCAAGCTCACAGGGAGCCTCCCTCCCGCCCGGGCTGTTCCCCACGTCACCTCTTCTTGGAGCGGTCCTTCCACACCCGTCCAGATTTGGGCCTCCCCTTCGGGATCACAGGGACCTCCTCCTCCTTCTTTAGCTTCTTGCACGCGGGGGTCTGGGCACAAGAGTCGTGTGGCTCCTTTGCCCGGGGGCGGCTTGTCACCGTCTGCCCAGCCGGGAGTGGCGTGCGCGGCTCAGAGGGGGACAGTGGTGGTCGTGAGGGCTCCGGACCTGGAGCCGGCTGACCCAGATGCGGCTCTGGGGACCCCGGGGTCGCCTCCTCTGTACTTTGAGCGAACACGTCCAGTTCTCCTTGACCCCGGGACACCTCTGGTGGCTTCGCACATGGCTCTGGTTGTCGCTGGGGGGACTCGGGAGTTATCTCCGGCTGTCTCTGAGGAGATTCCACGCCTGCGTCTCGTTCACGCGGGGGTGACTGTTTTCCAGGCTCTGGCTGTCTCTGAGGGGACCCCAAGCCCGTCTTCTCCCGCAGACTGGCTGATCCCGTGTTCGTCTCCTGTTGATGCCCGGGGGACGCTGGGCCAAGCTGCCACACACCCTCGACAGACCCGGGCGGCCTCGTGTCTTCTCCGTTCGCCTCTAGCTCCACAAGCGCCCGCCTCACCTGCGAAACAGAGGTTCGCTTCTCGGTGGACTCAGGCTTTAGGCCCCCAAGTCGCCGGCTGCGCCTTAGTGGGGTGTCCATGGCCTAACTTGAAAGTTTTCAACTTGAGGTCCACGTGCACTCCCCGCCGCCGCCTCCGGATCTGTTGGCGCCTTCCTATGACGTCAGTGGCCTCCATGTCTGTGCCGGGCAGGCGGGGCTGTTGCCCACTGAGGCCATTTTTGTGAAGGGCGAAGAGGCGGAGTCGTTGGCCTGACGGGGGCCGGACTTAGTAGGCGCAAGCGCACTCCTTCCGGCGGGAATCATGGTCGTTCTTCCTGCAAACGCTTTTTGGGGGGGGTGGGGAGAGGGGAAGAAGAACGTTCGGGGGAAGAAAGGCGCGGGTGGAGGTGGGAATGGGGAGAAGGCACATTTCTGGGCTTAACCGAGTGAGTGAATGAGGACTTGGTGGCGCCTTCAGCCCCTGCCTGCCCTTAAACTGCTTCTGGGCACACTCATGGCCGCCCCGTTCTCAGGTTTCAATGAGGCTTTGGTTCCCAGCACTTAAGGGCCCCTTTGCGTGAGGCCCAGAAGGAGCTATGATTTACTCCCGACACCTCTTTTTCTTTGGAAGAATATTTCGGAAGTGCTTCAACCGCATCTCCATTCTTTGCGGTGTTTTTCTGGGGCGGGCCTTCAGGGTTCCCAGGCTGGGGTTGGGAGAGGGCCTGGGAAGTTGTCCAAGGGTGCTGAGCGCAGGGTCTCATCACTGAGCCCAGCCTGACCTGCTGAGTACTGCGTGCCACGCAGAGAGGCCGGCGGAGCCCGGGGAGTCCTGGCGGCTGACACAGGAGACCAAGGTCCCTGGAGAATGGAAAAGTGGACTGAGAATCCTTTACCCTTCCACCCTCAGCTGGGCTCACAGCCTGTAAGACGCCTGGTGATGGATCCAGCCCGATCCTCCCTAAGACAAAGGCCTCTGCCCATCCGCCCACATGGACAGAGCAGCTGTGTGCTTGTAGAGTGGGTCTGTGGCTAAGTGTGGCTAAGTGCCTTTGTCTCCTTGTACCACAGGAGCAGTTCAAACACCTCCTTGCCCCACTGCCAGCTCCCAATTCTCAGAAAATTGGGCTGCATCCCGAATCGTCATTTCCTGGAATCCTGTGTGATCCCTGCTTGCCTAGTTTGTAGCTTGAAGAGGCAACAATTGAGTCACTTCCAGCCTGGCTTACAAGGTGTCAGAGGGTTGTGAACGAGGAGGCTGTCCAGACAGAGGCCTCGGGTGTGTCTCAGGTGTGTGGGAAGGTGTTTAAGTCAGGTAAACTCTGGCCCTGCTCCCACCTGAGGTGGATTTGCCATCCTCATTTTGCAGGGTGTGCTGGCGCCTCTAGTTCTCAGGGCAGTCTGAGTCCTCGTGCTTCCTGCTGCAACATCCCAGTTTCCTCGCCTCAGCAAGGACATGGATGGCGTACCTGAAGAAACCCCCTCAGAGTTGCTCTCTGGTTGCCCACAAAGAAACCTGGTCTCTCAATTTCCTCCTTGTCTCACTTTTCTGCTCCCTTAAGGTACTTGCTGGCTCATTTTTTTCTTTCCCTCTCTCCCTCCCTCCATTCCTTCCTTCCCTCCATTTATTCTTTCCTTCATCCCTTCATTCCTTCCTTCCTCCTTTCCTCCCTCCCTCCCTTCCCATCTTATAATGATTTTATTTATTTGAAAGGTACAGTTAGAATGAGTGAGGGAGGGAGAGAGAGAGAATTTTCCATCTGTTGGCTCATTCTCCAGATGAACACAACAGGCAAGGCTGGGCCAGGCTGAAACAAGGAGCTTCTTCTGGTCTTCGGTGTGGGTGGCAGGGGCCCAAGGACTTAAACCACCTTCTGCTGCTTTCTCAGCTGCATTAGCTGGGAACTGCATCAGAAGTGGAGCAGCCTGGACTTGAACCAGCACCCGTGTGGGATACTGGCTTCACAGACTTGATGCGCTATAGCACAATGTGGGTATTTATCTTCTGAACAGACTGTTTCGGGGTCAGCATCTGGAGTAACCCGGCCTTGAACTCTGGGACAAGCAAAATGGACTCGCTCTCTGCCACGACTCTGAGGCGCAGGCTGATGTGATTACTCCGTTTTACCGACAGCAGCACGTGGTTCCAGAGGCAGCACACCTCGCTGCCTGGCCTTCCCTCAGGTGGACCTTGCTTGCTCATTCCTGACACTGGCGCTGGTGTCTTGGCTGGTGCTGGGTAGCGTGTCCCATGTGTGGTGCAGGATGTGCTGTGCTGGCAATGCCTAGCTTATTGCATCGTGAGATCTGCTGATTGAAGGAAGCCAAGAACCACAGGTAGATAGAAGATATGTGTCGGATGTCCTTCTCAAAGTCAGTCATCCTCCACCCAGCCAAGGGGGCTACCTTTGGAGGGTTGGAAAGTACCCAGATGTCACAGGTCCACAGCCCTGTGAGTCTACGCTTGACTCCAAGATCAGAGATGGGGAGGACAGAGCCCTTGCAGGCAGAAGCAGCACTCACTGGTGTCTGCTAGGCGTCAGGCCTCTCCTCGGCGCTCAGTGAATCCCCTGGAACCTTGGTCTCGGAGGTTGAGAAAGTGTTGTTGAATGAAGATCCAGTGGTCACCTGTAGTGGGCTGACCAGGCTTGGAGAAGTAGTGATTTGGTGCCAGATGACACAGCAGAGGTATAAGCCAAATCCAAGTCCTTGGCTTCCATTTCCATTGGGTCCAGGACTGGAAGGCAAGGGCTGGGACTATGTAGGGACTTCCTCTATCTGGGAAGTCTCTGGCACCTGGGATGATGGAAGAACAGGACCAGGTGAGACATAGCGTTCCTGAGCCTTGACTGCCCTTCCCCAGGCCAGGAGGATCTGGGTCACTCTCTGTGCCACCCAGAGAATGATTGTCTTTGCCTGAAGTATCACTTACCCAAGCTGAAAATCTCTGGCTCTTTCAGTATTCTTAGCATGAGCACTGATTTTCATTGCGTGTTCCCTGGTGATGAGTTTCAGATCCTTTGAGTGGGAGGGGTGGCAAGATCTCAGCAGAGGAGCTCTGGGCAGGGTAGGGGTGGTCCTGTGGGGACTGCAGGCCTGAAACCTGTCAGCTGTGTTGGAGTACATTGCCCTGCTCCAGAGAAGCTGTCCGGACTGGGCTGGGCTCTTTCTGCAAAGCTGTGGGGCATCTGCCATTGGTCAGAGATAGGGGAGCCACGCACAATTGTTGCCCCTCAATCCTGGCACCTGCAGGGTCTGTTGAAATAGTTAGGGGGAAGAACCCCTCCTGGATAGCGGTGGAAGACGGAACTTCCTTTCCTTGGGTAGGTGTTTGATTCCCTGGTGTCTCATCCCCTCTCACCCTGCCCCAATGCACCCAATAGCAACACTTCCAAAGTCTGGCAGGAGGGGATTAAAGCCTGGACCCTTACCCAGAATTGGGTGGGGACCTGAATTTGCATTGGGAACCAGCTCCCGGGTGCTGCTGCTGGTCAGGGACCAAACTCTGAGGAACAGTGTTCTGAGAAGTGAGGAGCCATGTGTGAAGAGCTTCCTGCTTTGTACTCTCTCATCCCTTGCAGGGCAGGTGCTGAGTCTCTGTGGTACCAGAATGCATCCAGCAGGATAAGCTGGGGTGACAGATGCAAGGCTGGGAACCTGTTAAGAAGAGGCCCCAGGAAGAGAAGTGAAGGGCCTCTTGCCCAGCATGCATGCTGCCCCCAGTGCGTCCTTGGAGGTATTTTTGTACTTGCCTTGACAAAGGGTAGGCTTCTGTGCTCTGTCTAGTCAGCTAACCAAGGGCAGACAGTATTCTATTCCCCATTCCAGTAGTGCTTTGACCAAAGCACCTTGCTAACTTTCCTTGAACTCCTTGCGTACAGACATGATCTAAGTCTGAATTGTGTTTGAACTCATGTTTGCTAAGTGTAAGTTGAACCCTTGAAATAAACCTTGTCAGTAGCCCACGAGAACACTGTCCACTCCACCCCCCGTTTCTTTTTGTTCGCTCTCCTCCCCAGGGACCTGCAAGGTAGACTTGCACTGTGGATTGTTTATTCATTCGTCACTTGTGTTTTTGAGAGTTTGGTTTATGACAGGTACTAACGGTACAACAAGACAAGCCAATCTTGGTCACTGCCTTGAGGGAACTTCTTCCACTGTCTTGGGGGCCATGAGTATTACACAGTCAATTGAAAACTGGAGGAAGGCTGAGCAACATCTCTTTTCCCTGCTTACAACAATCCATATGAAAAAAAAAAAAAAGAAAGAAAGGTCTACTCGGAAGGCAGAGAGACAGATGCAGATCTTCTACCTGCTAGGTCACCCATTGCCCCAGTAGCCAGGACTGGACCAAAACCAGGAGCTTAGGGCTTTATGAAGGTGGCAGGGACCCACCTATGTGAGCCTTCTGCTGCCTTGGGGGGTGTGCATTAGCAGGAAGCTAGAGTGACATGTGGATGTCCCCGGCAATACTGGGTGCCTGCCACCATTTTTTCTCATTTTTTACATGTGAGGAAATAGCAGCTCAGAGTGGATCCGTGATTTGCTGAAAGTTGTCAGATGTTTGGTGGCAGTACTTGAACTTGGCTCTCCCTAACTTAATATTTTGGCTCCCAAACTCTACGAGCTCCTTCAGCTTTGTGGGGTTGGATTTAGAGTTATAGATGCCACACATGTGGCCAGCAGGTGACACCTGAGAGCTTCGTCCTTGTGCACAGAGGAAGAGTAGGAAAAACAGATGAACAGATAAACCTACATACTCACACACACAAGGACTTTCAGTTCTTTAGATCTGAATAATCATGGGGTTTCACAGTGAATCACTTCCCCTGCCTTCTCTGTTTCTACTTGTCCCTGTCTATTCAGGTTTGATGTATCTGTAGCTTTTCTCTTCTACCATGATACCTGCGTTGGCAGTGGGTCCCCTTGCCCCCCCCCCCCATCCATATGGTGGCTTCATCTCCATGACAACCCTTCGATACTTCACGATGGTGACCAAGATGGAGTGAGTCCAGGAACCAATTATGAGGCTCCTTCCCTGAGGCACAGACCAACTTGGTCCCCTTTTTAAATGGTGGGAATTCTAATCATATAGTAGTGATGGTCAGGGTGGGGCTGGGGTGGGGAGGGAGTCTTGGATTTCTCTGCCCA